ATCAGGGAGTTGTTTAGAAACCAGAAGTTTGCAAAGAGGAAGGGTTGACTCCAGAGAAATAGCCCTATGGTGGGCAACACGAAACACGTTCTGAAGAGATGTTCATGTGATAAAGGATATGACAAAGACAAATGGGGAACCTACAAATGTTTTAGAATTGACACTTGGATGCAGGCTGAGGTTGGTGACCCAAGAGAGAGTTTTTAGATTAAGGGACCAGAAGCACTGGGCTGGCTTTAGGTGTTGGGCATTTATTTCTGCATCTTTCATATCTATAGCCTTGACCACTGGCCTTTGCCCTGGGACACTGCCATGACTTGGCTGGGGCTTAGCATCTCTCACTGCACATGGCTGCCTCTGTGTGACTTGGACCCTGCAGCTCCTGCCTCTGGTTGAGCAGCCAATGGCTCCCGTCTGTGGCAGGAGGAGCATGCAGAACTGGCTCAGAGTCCAGATGAAGAAAGAAGCTCCGTTTCCCAATTGATGGCAAAAGTTGCCCATGGAGGATCCGGAGACCTTAGTTAGGCAATGCCTCCCTGTCTCCTCTGCTGCACTGACTATGGAAGAGGGTCACATGCCATGCCAGGCCTGACCCATCAGTTGGTGCCAAAGAGTCTCGCTCTGCTTGGCACTTGGGATGACACTGCTGGTATTCTCGTTTGCCGTTTGCTAGCCCAAGTTTCATAGAGTTCATTCCATGAGTATTTAGACTCATATGTAAGCAATGCTAGTCACCTCCCCTAAGTAGAGCAAATTTCTAGCATGACTAGATTGGGCAGCAGCCCAGGCTAGATACCTGAATTCAAGTTTTAGGATTGGGAGTCGTCCTCTCACACCTTGGATAGGAAAGAGACATTTTTGTTCTATTTTGAAATACATATATTCAATCAACCAACCTATTTGGAGTCCCCTTCTGTAGTCCAGAAATAATAAGTGCTATGAGTAATTACTAAGATAAGTAAGGCTCCTGTAAGAGCCCTGATGAGCTTACAATCTAGTGGGTGGGAGGATGAGGCAGAGCCGATGCAAACACAGAGAAATCTGAGAAAATTTCCTAAGTGCTATAATAGACTCTATTTGGGTATTCTAGGAAGCAGGGACTTATGGGAAGTTGTGATATCAACCTGAGGGGAGGAGTTAACCAGGCAGAGGGAAAGAAAGGGTGTTTGGATGAGGAATGTCAGGGGCAGTGGGAGAGAAGGCACAGTGGTGAAAGCAGTTTGGTGTGTTTCTGGACCTAGGATCCATCTGGTACAGTGCAAGTTGTAAGGCCAGGGATGGCAAGAGGAAGACTGAAGGGCTTGATCACAGGAGGGGTTTTACTGGACTTCATCCTGTAGTTGTGTGGGTGGGAGGTGGAGGACTGGGGAGGAGAGTGAGGGTCAGAACTGGAAAGGTACTTGGCCGGACTGGAACACAGAGGCTGTGTGTGTGAGCCTGGAGGGAACGGGCCTGGATGGAAAATTGCCTGAAAGTTTGTATTTGGCTTTTACGGCAAGGAGGTAGAAACAGGGAACTCACATAATCAGCCACGTGTTTGTGAAGATCACTCCAGCAGCCAGTGGCAAGTGATCAAAAGGGAATAGTACCAGAGAAAGGCAGGAAAACTAGTGAGGAGGCAGGTGGCCCAGTTCTGGTGAGCAGTGGTAGGAACCTGGATTGAGGGTGGCAGTGTATGGGAAGGCAAGCTGCATTCAGCGCTTCATGCCTGTTCCGAATTTCTCTTCTTAAAATCACGACACTTAAGATATTAATTTTAAAATCTTTTATTTGACTGTGTCCTGCCCCACCCACACTAATTCTTGGCATAAACATCCCTTCCTTTTCCATCCTCCTCACCTGGACACTCGTACAGCACACAGCATCTCTGCACCTTCTCCTGAGTGTGGGGTCAGCCGTCTTTCTTCATGCTGGACCGTGTGCTTCATGCTGGCAGGGACTCTTTCTTGATGCTATCAGGACACTCATGTCCAGCACAGTGCTGACACATAGTGGGTGCTCTGTGATTTGTTAAATGGCCAATATTAGTGAGTAAATTACTAATTCAGAAATGTAGGATCTGTGTAGTCTGGCAGGAAAACCCAACACTTTGTATTTTGTCCCAAAATAGTAACTATCTTCCCCCTTCCCTATACAGGGTAATATGTTTGGGGGCAACAAATGACAGTTAATAATATAATATATTGATTTTTATGATTATTTTAATTGTTATGGCTATGAGTCTATACTACTATTTTCTCATAACCACATTTTAAATGAACATTTATAAATAATATCAATTCTCTAGTTGTTTATTTTGAAACAAAACCAAATTGCTTAGCTGAGAATTGAAGAGCCCTTCAAGTCTGGGCTTAGTCATTTGGATAGAAGTCTGGGATGCTACTGGGCTTGTCTCCTGCCACTGGAGAGCTGTGCCCCCTGCTCCTTGGGGGGTGATGCTGTCGGGAAGCAGCCTCCACTGTCGCTGCTCCAGCAGTGAAGATCTTAGTTTTTCCTTAAGCCTCAGTGCCAACTTTGGCCTTTATGATCTTGTTCTTCTTGGTGTTGGTGTGATATTTGAGAAATTTATCTCAGCTGCAGCTCCCCTTCTGGTGGGAAACTTGCCTGGAGAAACAGAGCATCCCTCTGGGCCTGAAGCTGCCTGGACCTCTCTCTTCTTCCTCAGCCTCCTCCTCCTCCTCCTTTGCAAGCAGATCACACAGCACAGCACTTGGCTTTGAATTATCATGTTCTCAGTTATCTTTTATGTTTGGTCTTTTTGTCTAAGTTGGATTAATATCAGGGTACAAAGGATTATGTTACATTGTTTCTTTTCTAGGGTAAAGTTCAAATCGTGTCTGGGGTCGTGCTATGTCCTCAACATCTGGTCTTATCTGTCTGATGAGGAACAGGGGCCCTGTGACACCTCAGCTCTCCCTGTATTAGTAAGCTGTGTGCATGACAGAAGCCAGCAGGGTCACAGCCCTGAAACAGGCTCTGTGCCCAAGCACCGTTTCACAGAGCTTTGCCTCTTCAACCCTGGAGGTCTGTACAGGGCTTATGTGGTGACTTCAATCCAGAAAGCTTGGTGATGTGAGAATTGTGTGTTTCTGGTAAATGCACTCCACTCCAGCTGTGGAGGACTTTTCTTTAACTGAATGACTGACTCATTTTGTTGACTGAAGCTGGCAAGGACTTGACCCTTGTTCAGAGGCTGGAATGCGTTATCCTGATAGTATAGTAGGCAATGTTTTTATTGTTCTCCTAGTTTTCTCACTGTTCAGCTTATTTGTTCTCCCTCCCATTAGGATTGTCCCTGGGGGCCTCTTTAAAGCTCAGTCTCCTTGAGCGTGGCCTGAGTGAACTGAGGTTATGAAGTCCGTCCTGGATGGCCTTGCAGACACCACCTTCCGCACCATCACCACCGACCTCCTCTATGTGGGCTCGAATGACATTCAGTACGAAGACATCAAAGGCGACATGGCATCCAAATTAGGGTACTTCCCACAGAAATTTCCCCTGACTTCCTTCAGGGGAAGTCCCTTCCAAGAGAAGATGACTGCCGGGGACAGCCCCCAGCTGGTGCCTGCAGACCAGGCGAACATCACAGAATTCTACAACAGGTCTCTGTCATCCTTGCGGGAGAGCGAGGAGAGTGTCCAGTGTGGCGAGAACTTCATGGACATGGAGTGCTTCATGATCCTGAACCCCAGCCAGCAGCTGGCCATCGCGGTGCTGTCCCTCACGCTGGGCACCTTCACGGTGCTGGAGAACCTGCTGGTGCTGTGTGTCATCCTGCACTCTCGCAGCCTGCGCTGCCGGCCCTCCTACCACTTCATCGGCAGCCTGGCAGTGGCAGACCTGCTGGGCAGCGTCATCTTCGTCTACAGCTTCGTTGACTTCCATGTGTTCCACCGCAAGGATAGTCCCAACGTTTTTCTGTTCAAACTGGGTGGGGTCACGGCCTCCTTCACCGCCTCAGTGGGCAGCCTGTTCCTCACCGCCATTGACAGGTACATATCCATTCACAGGCCTCTGGCCTACAAGAGGATCGTCACCAGGCCCAAGGCGGTGGTGGCGTTTTGCCTGATGTGGACCATAGCAATCGTGATTGCCGTGCTGCCTCTGCTGGGCTGGAACTGCAAGAAGCTGCAGTCGGTGTGCTCAGACATCTTCCCGCTCATTGATGAGACCTACCTGATGTTCTGGATTGGCGTTACCAGTGTGCTGCTGCTGTTCATCGTGTATGCCTACATGTACATTCTCTGGAAGGCACACAGCCACGCTGTGCGCATGCTGCAGCGCGGTACCCAGAAGAGCATCATCATCCACACGTCTGAGGACGGCAAGGTGCAGGTGACGCGGCCAGACCAGGCCCGCATGGACATCAGGCTGGCCAAGACCCTGGTCCTCATCCTGGTGGTGCTGATCATCTGCTGGGGCCCCCTGTTGGCCATCATGGTGTATGACGTCTTCGGGAAGATGAACAAGCTGGTCAAGACTGTGTTTGCATTCTGCAGCATGCTCTGCCTGCTGAACTCCACCGTGAACCCCATCATCTACGCTCTGAGGAGCAAGGACCTGCGGCATGCCTTCCGCAGCATGTTCCCCGCGTGCGAGGGTGCGGCACAGCCCCTGGATAACAGCGTGGGAGACTCGGACTGCCTGCACAAGCACGCCAACAACGCCGCCAGCATGCATAGGGCCGCGGAGAGCTGCATCAAGAGCACCGTCAAGATTGCCAAGGTCACCATGTCTGTGTCCACAGACACGTCCGCCGAGGCTCTGTGAGCCTGCTGCCTCCCTGGCAGCATGGGAAAAGAAAGCATTTGTTTTGTTTTTTAAGCTCAAGATCTAGAAGAGTCTGTCGTCTCATTGGTTATATATTTTTAAGTTAACCATGTTCAGTGAAAGGGTGATTGTTCACCATGATCATTTATAAGTTCGCTAATGTTTCAATAGTTTAGGTACTCAAACTCTCTTCTCCAGGCATTCACTGGGAAGAAAGCGTGTTGCTTAAGTTACTGATCGGCCCTTCGAAGTCTCACTGCAGCAGAGGGAAACTTTCGCCTACACAGTTTGAAGTCTAAGTACCCGTAGAGAAATACCGTCAAGCAGCTTTCATTATAACGTGAAGTATGTCTGTCCAGAATATCAGAGATGTCCATTTTTACAACAGTTACAGTACTAAAGTAGAGATGTTTTGTGAAATACATTGTGTCTTGTGATAAATGTATCAGTGTTACCATGTGTTATTTATATTGGTCTAGCTCAGCAAAACTGAAAGGTAGACAGACTTTTACCAGAACAATGAAACACACAGACTGGATATATGCCAATGAGACTCCATTTTTTCTATATTGTTGCCCATGATATAACTTTAGAAACTCTAATATTTCTTCAGATATCTTATTTGACACTGAAATGCCCATAAAGATTTATTTTTCTGTTAACACAACAAGAAGAATTTGAAGATGTCAAAGTACTGAGCAGAATTCACTGCCACTTACAGGTTTATCAGCCCCTCATTTTCATAGGCGGACATCTATTATCTCTGGACTGTAGCTGTTCTGTTGGGTAATGGATTATAATCAGAATGGAAGAGAGGAAGCATATTGACTTTCCCAGGTGACATCTCTGACTCCTTTAGTCTTTTGCTACTACTGGATTTCTTAAGACAGCATGTGTCAATCATAATGTCTGTTGTTGCCACTGTGCAGTTGCTGTTGCCTTGAAGAGTATTGTATCCTCATACTCCAGGTTTAAGTAGATTTCATGCCTGGGTGACCAAACAATAGTCTTTTTTTTTTTAATTGAAAAGTATTGTCTGGATTAGTAAAATTATATTGTGTGTGAGTGTGAGTATAAACGTGTTTCTGCCCTATAACTGTTACAGTAATATCATAAAGTGAGAAAACGGTAACCAAGTGTGAACTGTTTCACTTGCTACACTCCTGCACATGAATTCAGTTTCCAAAATTTAGTTCTTTCATAAATCTTGCTGGTAGAAGTACTGACTGTAGCCATTCAGAAAATTCCCATCTCACTCCTCCCTAAGAGATTGGGTCAAGTATTACTAAATCAGTTTTTAGGTATTACATAAGACCTGTGTTTAGCAAGGAAAAATCAATGACAGACATTCAAGAAAAGATTTTTATTTATAATGTTATCATAAGGATATGAGAGTGCTTTGGTTTCTGAGCTCCCAATATTGATCAAATCCATGGAGATTTAAGTTTTTGAATGGAAGATAGTTCTACAAAAATATCAAATGGTAATATTTTTCAGTTGTGTGTCTAAGTGGTGCTGTGCACATTATAATTAAGTAGTACCATTATACATGTCCCATATGGCTAGAAAGGCCACATCAGACATGGAAGAGATGAGAAAGGGCAGTGAGACACCGACACAACACCTGGGAAACTGGGGCTGGATAGCATGCTGCCACTGAGCTCTGCCAGGTGCCCAGGTGTCCAGCTGGGTCTTGGATAAGGAACAGACTTCTCTGCTCATGGCCAGCAAGGTGCAGCAGACATGCACGCCCCCTTTCTCCTTATGACCCCGTTTTGCACCCCTGACTGATGCCATGGATGCTCAGATTTGGGCCTTTTTCAGTAAGGAATGATAATGCTTGAGAGGCCACTTGACCCTGACAAATTTCACCTGCAATCGCTTCTCCTCATACAGCTAAATTGTGACTGCTACAAGGCCCTGGGGCCTATATAACATGAAGTGGACTAGAGAGCAAGCATCTGTCTCCAGCTCTCGAGACACCCTGCAGCCTGACGGGCACTGCCTCTCCTTGCAGTTCATGGTCTAAGGCAGCGTGAGGCCTCTGGACCAAGTGCAGATATTTCAACTGGCTGTCCATCTGTATAGCTCAAATCTGCCACTGGTCCTCCCAGTTTACCTCATTGTAAAATGCAGATGAAGGCTCAGGGTACTAGAAATTAATAAGATCTCTTTAGAAGGAAAGAAGATTATTGATGAAAAAACTCACCAGGGTCTAGTTTCCATTTAAGAATTGCCAGTCTTTCATCCTATGTCATTCTGAGAATTATTAATCCACATATCTCTGAGCTCAGCAGGCAGCACCAACTCTCTTCTTACAGCTATGAAGACGAAGTGGAGATAAGCAGAAAAACTTGTTGTTATAGGTAAAAAAAAACTTCAGGGTTCATTTCTGAAACTGTATTTGTGCATATGCAATGTAGATTTTATAGTGTGTTATACTTTCAAGATCTACATTATACATAATAAATTAAGGGACAATGGGGCTGACAGCACTAAACTTGGTGCTTATTGATATTCTAGGAAATATCTGTAAAATATCATCATGTACATGGTATACTACCCTCATTTAAGAATGTTTAAAATTAGTTGGATTCACTTCGACATGTGTCATATCATTTCCTAACCCAAATGACTAAAATGTTCTTTTCAATTAATATACTCATTAGGATGACCATTTGTTAGCATTCATTAACTAGCCCCATAATTAGTTCCATTAATTTAAATATGATTTAAATTTAAGTAAGTTTTATGAAGTCTGACACCAGAGGCATGGGCTTTCCTCTGGAAAACATATTTGCCCTGACCATTCATTTTGCCATCACACATGTCTTCAGAAAGGACCAAATCCTCAAACTGCTTAGTCTCTTTAGAGTAATGATGAATCAGTACTAGATTAACAGTTTCATTCATATAAAGAGGACTGTCTCTGAGAACCTCTGATTTTGCATTACATATGAAATATATGTAAAAGAAGCATGAATCTGGGAGATACTGCAGACATCTACCCATACTCAAGGGTTTCCGCAGTCTTCCTTTGAGTAAGGTCTATCTGGTATTAAATATCAAGGAGCTTTTGCCATCTGAACCCACTCTGCAGGAAATAGGCCCAACCACCAGATGAGAATTAGGCCCTGGATGAACAGCACTCTGGCTATTATCCTGTCCATTAATTTCTGCCATTTCATGTCCATAAAAGAGACCACCAATATCATGCACAAAATTGGATTTCTCATAATCTAGCTGTATATTTGTATGATATTTTAAAATCTCCTAAATGCTGGGCAGTGGCTATTAACAGTTGTCTTGCACTGTCCTTCTGATGAAATGTTAACAATGCCTATTGTAATATAGACAACACATTCTATTTACTGATTTGGGCTGAATGTATGTAAATAGGTTTTCAAAAAGTCAGATATTTAAGCAGTGGCCTATTAATCAGTAATTTTCAGATAGGAGAGTTTCTTTACATTGCTGTGGCATCCTAAAAGTTGTTTTCATGTAAACTTACTATTCTAGGCCTACTGGGGATCAGATTCCTCAAGAAAGGAAACCTTTTCTTGTAATAATATGAAGCAAGATGCCAGATAATCTGGATTCTTATTTCCAATGTTTCAAGAGGAAAATAACTCTTTATTGTCTGTAAATCTAGCATTATTACTTTTCCTCTTAGAAGAATATTGTACTGTTAGATGTTTGTTGAGCTGGTAACATTGTTGCAGCTGTATTGTTGCAGTACCTTTGTTAGTAATATGTATAATGCCTTGTACACAAGTATTGGTAAGATTTTATTAAATGTAGCTTCAGTCATGAAATTACTATAGCAGAGTAGTACTTCTGTAATATTTACAATGTAGTAAGCCCACAGTATATTTTATTTCAATGGTGTAATTAAACTGTTATTTATTCAAAGAGAAAACATCTCATCATGTCTATTGTCCAAAGTTACCTGGAATAAATAAAAATTCTAGATTACCATGAAAAACATAAAATGCCTTTGAATCCTGCATTATTTTACAATCTGAGGGTAAAGAACTTGAGATTTAATTTGTAAAGGATTGCTGAACAACTGATTTGTTCCCCCCCAAAAGCACTTATGACTTTAGTTATAATGAAGGCAGATTGATTACCATTTTATTTTTAATGTAGAAAAAGCATTCAGGGTGGCGCCTGTGGCTCAAAGGAGTAGGGTGCTAGCCCCATATGCTGGAGGTGGAGGGTTCAAATCCAGCCCGGGCCAATAAAAAGAAAAAAGAAAAGCATTCAAAAACCACTCATTTATACAATAAACCAGAATAGGCTACCTTTTAACAGCATTACAGTAGCTGAACATCTCCCTACACTGACCACCTCCCTGCATTGACCGCCTCCTTAAGTTGACCTGATTTTCATAGACTGGACATGCACCACATGTATGTAAGGCCCAGTTTCTTATGTTGACCACTTCTGTATGGTGACAAGTTTGTTACAATTACATGGTCAATTTACAGAGGTTCAACCACATTTTATTACAGATTTTAAAGTAAATTAAAACAAATGCACTATTCACAATGTGTAAATTAAATTGGGACATGGTAAAGTATAAATATGAAGAGCCTATAAACATCATATATTCTGAACCACATAAAAGAAATAAATGTTGGTGGCACCTATAGCTCTGTATCTAGAGCACCGGCCACATACACCAAGGGTGGTGGGTTTGAACCCAGCTCAGGCCAACTAAACAACAATGGCAACTGCAACAAAAAAATTGCTGAGCATTGTGGTTGGCACCTGTAGTCCCAGCTACTTGGGAGACTGAGGTAAGAGAATCACTTAAGCCCAAGAGTTTGAGGTTGCTGTGAGCTGTGATGCCATGCACTCTGTCTCAGAAAAAAAAAAAAAAAAAGAAAGAAAGAGAGAAATGTTTCTCATCATAGTTTGTAAAAACTTACATTATTTCCATTTGAGCAATAAGAGAAAATACGTGTAAAATTTTATAATGAAGTAAAAAGAACATAACGATGAAATTTAGATATGATTGCTATTTTAAATAAAGTATATTTGCAGTCAATTTTGAAATAAATTTGAAAATTTATGTTATATTTATATTATATTATAAATTTTTCAAATAATAAATTGGCCAATATTTGAAAATGTACTACATTGAAATATGGAAAGTAGATTATCTTTGTTTTTTAGTAATTATAATCAAAATGGATCATTTTGCCTTTTTGAGTAAACATGGCTAGCTGCATAAACTAAATGCTTCCAATGAAAGGCAAATGATATACATTTTTAGCTCTTAAATTTTATATTAGAACTTGATGGGAGAGAT